ACTAATTATGATTTTTTAGAACCTAAATCTTAAAATTCTAAATCCTAAAAATTCTTTTGACCCCTAAAACCCCTTAAACCTTCAAAACTAAACTCTAATACAATATAGTTAACCCAAACATAAATGATATAATAAATAAATAATTTTGAAAAGTAGTATTTTTGCAAAAATTATAAAAAATGGTATTTTTTGAAAATTTTCTATATTTTAAAACAATTTTTTTTAAAACATTATATATATTGAAACGGAGAGAGTATTTGATAAGAAAATATATATCTGTTTAACATCTCTAGCAATATATCCACCAATCGCTAAATGAATTAGCTATTTTGGAGTAGAAAATTCTCTTTTTTTTACCTACAATCTAGACACATTTTCAGATTTGATCACGAATTATTATGAAGCATCGATTATTTAAAAATTATAATTCACACATCCCGAAGACTCGAATCTGAAGCATATTTTTGGGCAAACATTAATTTCATTATTTAAATTTATGGAATACATTTAGAAGTGGGACATATTCTTATGAAGCATCGATTATATGAAACTTGGTCACTTGTGACATTGAAAACCAATTTTCACCTCCGGATTTTGTCAAAACGAGTCATGTTGCTTATTTTGGTTCCGTGAAAACCGCTACACAAGAAAACAAGTAACTGAGTATGTTGGAAATTTTTTCATTATTGAGTCCGTGGAAAATCCATTTTTCATCAGGTTCTTCAGATAACTATTTATTTACAAAATACAGATTGAGAAAATTCTTGAAAAATACTCTAACTTAATTTTATTGGCTGAAAAAATACCCGAATTTTTTTCGTTACCCGATTAATATCCAAACTATTTAACGTTAGTATTTCAATACTCGAACTTTTAATGTGTTCTTGTTTTACTACATAACCATTAACGGAATTAACGAGACTGACGGAAATTAATAAACGCTGTTAGTTTTTAATGAACAGTGTTTGCTACAATGTTCTTCCCCAAATTGATTTTGAGATGTAAGAACCCAAAAATCCCAAATTAATTTTGGATGGATTTCAGAATTTTCCATGAACAAGCAAGCATTCCTTCAATAACCTTGTAAGAATCACCTTATTATTATCTTTGTGCAATTTAATTTCTTCACCCGATTGCCCTCGAATTTGAAATCCTTCAAGTTCATGTATTGTACATGCCGTGGAGTTAAGATCTCAAATCTGTTAGTTATCGTACAGATTGATTTCGTCAGACAAGAGTTGGAGAGCACGAAAGTTCCAATAATATCGGTAAGACTAATTGTGTCATGTACACATTACATGTTTCCATTTACATATTGCTTCTTATGACCAGATATATACATCCATTATATGGATAGATTTATAATATTCATGAATAAAAATTCTAGTAACTCAAATCTTTAACTGCTTTTGGTAGGTTGGGCACTCTATTGGGTCTTATATATCCCTTGAAATGTTGAGGAAATGCGAGAAGGTAGAAATGGATTCCTCGGAGAGTATACTTCCTCTATCATAATTTCCTTCCTGGTGCTATGCGATCTCTTATATTCTCTGGACTGCCTCGCAGGTGGTATATTGCATTGAAGGATTGCTTGCTTGTTCATGGAAAAATCTGAAATCCATCCGAAATCAATTTGAGATTTTAGGGTTCTTACATCCCAAAATTAATTTGGGGAAGAACATTGTAGCAAACACTGTTCATTAAAAACTAACAGCGTTTATTAACTTCCGTCTGTCGGGTTAATCCCATTAATGGTTATGTAGTAAAACCAGAACACTTTAAAAGTTCGAATATTAAAATACTAACGTTAAATAGTTTGGATATTAATCGAGTAATGAAAAAAGTTCGGGTATTTTTTCAGTCAATAAAATTAAGTTATGGTATTTTTCAGGAATTTTTCCGATACACATTAGTAGAGTAGTAAAATTCACAACTCATTAGCTGACTACATATCTATCAATTAAATGTGATGATTCTGATGATGTAACATTAGGGCAACATGGGAACGTGGCAAGTTATATTACACACAATTAGATAAGCCATTAATTTCTATCTCCAACAAGAATCGATCCAACATAATTGCTGTTCAAATACAACTACGTAAAAAAATTATAGAATACATCATACCAATCGGTGAGCTCTTAAAATACATTGCTTAGTAATCCAACAAAATGTATGGATTTTTAAGGGGAGGAAAATTATAGAGTAACTCTTCGTCCAATTAAATTTGTATGAATTTCTCGACCTAAAAAAGAAGTGAAATTGTAAACCTAACATGTTATTCTCGATCATATTGGCTGTTTTTAATAGGTTCATATTTTAGAAAAAAAAAAAACTGAACTATAAGTCAACTAACTAATATTCTTTTTGTTTGGTATTACTTATGTATATTATTGTAAATTTTAGTTATCAAGACAATGAAGATATAGCGCATATGGATTTTAGATTCACAGAAGATCTCTTGAAAATGATNTCTTGAACTAACTAATGAGCTCTTGAAGATTTCTCTTTGTTTAGCAAAAAAAAAGAGAAAATGATCTCTTGAACTAACCAATATTTTGTTCGAACTCATTCTGATTTGACCGTCAAGAATTTTTATTTTTAATTTAACGGTATCAAATTTGTTACTGTCCATGGACTAGGGTCGACCATGTGCATGTATATTTGTTCTTTAACGGTTGATCTTTGATATTTTCGAAAATCATATGCAAAAAGATGATAACCAAATAGTTTTATTAGAAAATAATGTTTTAGTATTTGAATACAAAAATATGAGTTGTTTTAGTTAACTATATATCATTATAAAAAAATGAAAAACATTTTTAGGAGTGGCGTAACCTATATTTCGAATGGTTAAAAATACATTCTTCCATTCTAGATTAAATCTAGTTTATATCTACGGACTTCTCTTGTTCATTTTGTTTTCGCATAACAAAAAAAAAAATTGGGTTTCTATATAGAGAAATTGGCAACAATACCAAAAAAAAAGATATAATTCATGATCTAACCAAAATTACTGTTCATAGTGTGTATATATATATAGACGAAAATGTCCTTTTTGATATGATAAAATTTATACTATTTAGTTTTTACATAGTATAGAATATAGAGAAATTTTTAAAAATGCCACTTTTCAAAAATGTCACTTTTTCAAAATCTTTGCAAAAATGTTATTTTTTCAAAAAAAACTTCATTATATCGTTTATGTTTGGGTTAACTATGTTGTATTAGGGTTTAATTTTTAGAGTTTAAGGGGTTTTAGGGGTCAAAACATTTTTTAAGGTTTATAATTTAAAGATTTAGGTTTTAAAAATCTATAATTAGTGGCATTTTTGCAAATGAACCCTCTAATTAGTATTTTTGCAAATGTACACACTAAAAGTTGTATTTTTGCAATTGCCCCTAGAATATAATACTTTTTCCAACATTAATAACCATTTTTGC